AGGAAAAACTACATGGATTCCAAATTCAAATCAAAGCCAACAAGCGATAGGGAAGAAAATAATACATTCATTTCAGACTTAACATTAATAGAAAGCCTTGATGTTCAATTCAAAAAAAGCATTCTCCTTTAAATGAAGATGGTGTGATATTGCACCAGTGGCATCTCATCAAATATTAATTGTTGAGGATTAAGAAGTAGTAGACATATTGGGTGGTCTGGCATTTAATTATGATGTCCCTAGAAAGATACCATTATAAGGCAAGATTCAATCCAAAAATAAAAACAAGTGTTTTTCACAAATGGGTTGGAGGAGTCCTAATAAAATAATTGATTAAATGTCAACCTTTCTATATTATATTCTTTAAATACTCTATTAAAGGTTTTTCCTTCTTGCTTACTACTAAAATACATTTTTTTTTTTGCAATACAAGTAAACTGGTTTAGAAAAGAGAAGCCGTCAAACAGAGTATAATCTATTGTCAAGGATGTTGGTAAATTATTGAATCCAGTCTCTATTTTGAAACTTAGGAAACCCTGTCCTTAAATAACTGCTTTGGTGGCATTATTGAAGAGCAAGGGATATGTGAACCTGTGTCCTGGTAACTAAATGTGGAAAAGTTTCTATTCTGTCTGGAAGAGGACCAACAGAGAGCTCTAAATAGCAGCAGCTTAAGGGCTCAAAAGACCACATAATGAGGTCTCTGCTTCATCTAAATGCACATGAAAAATATGTGGAATTGCTGAAAGTCTCCCTCTTTCTACACTATCAGTGGAATGAGATCCAGCACGAAGTTGGGGACTGAAGTTGGAGCCTCTGAGCAGCTACCATTTTGTGCGATCATGAGCTTAGCTCACTTCCTCATAGTGTTGATTTCAAGCACAAACGAGATGATGCTTGTGGTGTATAAACTACAAGGTAGCAAGCTTAATCAATTAGGAGGTGAAAGTTTTAGAAACTTTAACAAGTAAGCAGTTGTTTGCGATGTCAGTTGTTCATACTGGGTTTGTAACGCTGATGATAGGATAGAGTAATGTGTTAAAACTACACTCTGATCACATTCAAGCACTGTGTGTAGATTTTTAAAAAGAGACTGTAGGAAAAAAGCCTGCTCTTCAAAGTCCTTTAGACTGAGACTAAGATACTATTCTGGTCATCACAGCCCCTGGCATCAGGTGATCTTAATTCACTCAGCAGTGATGTCAAAATTGCTGTCCTACTCCGAAAGCAATAGAGAAGCTGCTGCATTGTACAGAATCTGCAGGCAGAAATGGTTAGAAACTGCAGCTGGAAGTGAATTTTAATTGCGATTTAACACTAATTAGTAATGGTCATTTTCATAACCCTATTTCATAAGGCTCTTTGCCAAAGTTTTCAAGGATATCATCTATTCTTCTGGATAACCACTGTGCTGGGCAGCAGGTATGATTCAAGTTTCATTCACTCACTGATTCATTATGCAATTACATAGCAGACACTTCTCTGATCACTGGAAACAAAGAGTTACAGAACATACCTATTTTATAGAGTCCATTGTTGGGCTGTAAAATCAAAAATGTAAGTAGGATACCAAAGTACCACAATCAGTGCTAAAAGAGAAGCATCGATACCATGGAATACTTCTGAGTTTTATGAGACCATGTTATCTTTTGTTCCAACTGTGGACAATGTTTTAGGGATATCTTTTTCATGGAATAAAAAGAAATGCAGTTTTATGGAATAAATGTGCTACCATAGTTTGTGTAATTGATATACCAGGTGAGGGGGACGTATCCTCTCCTCACATTCTAGGCCATTCCTTCAAAGATGCTAGCACTGAATTCTGAAATGCATGCAGTGTGCAGGCTGTGCAGACCAAGCAGGTACTCTAGGCCTGGTTGATATCCAATCTTAGTATGTTTTCCAACCATGAAAGGTAATTGCTATAGAGTTGCTTCATTGCTCACAGAAATAAAGACACTTTGTGCTGCTGGATTCACTATGATTAAGAAGACTTTCTGGAAGAAATAAAAACAGTTGCTGATTTCTGACCCTGTGCTAAGGCAAGACAGGTCCTAAGCCACTATTTCTTACTATTGGAACATTAAGGTATAAGATCAGTGGTATTCTTTTCCATATAGTTGCTGAGTTCAATTGCTCTCTACTCAAGGACAATGTCATTGGTGGTAAAGACTCAGAGTTGGGGTTGTGAGCGGAGCTACAAGTACCTCAATGCACTATTCCTCCAAACTTCAATTTGTATTGGTCATTCTTGGGTGTTGTTTTTCTAAGTATAAACAGGAATTCTTTCTTAAATCACTGTATGAGTGCAAGAATACTTTGCTAGAATAATTATGCATTGCCTAGAAATTATGAAAAATGATACTGCACACTGCTGCTGATGCACCCCCCCCAGCCAACAGACCTTCAGCTGTAATCTAGAAAAACGTGTGGAAGAGCTGTTTTAAATTCACAAAATAGTAACTAATCATCTCAGAAGAATTGATTTAAATTCACAATATAAAATGCATAGTACTGCAAGGACAGTATATTATACTGAAATACAGTTATCAAAATATTAAAATTAATTAAAAGATAGTAATCTATGTGCTTCTTTATTAATGTAATCACATCATTATCTAGCAGCAGATTGAATAATGACCATAATTATTAAGTAGATATGAGTAAAGATGACATTTCAGGATATCTTCAATAAATATGAAAAATCAACAACTACTTTGGTACTTAAAATAATAGTATAGTTTGTTACCAACCTTCATAATTGAAGGAAAAGCTAAATGCCATGTAGAAATTAAAGAAAATAAAGATACATTATTTTTCTCATTCAGGTGAACAGGTCCCAAGTAAAAATTTCAGGCTTCTAGTAGCATGAGAGCATGGTTCATTAAATAACCCCATTCAGTTGACAAAACTGTTGAACTAATAATAAGCAGGCTTATTTTATTTGACTATAGTATTTAAAAAACAAATCAATTAGCCAATTAATGTGATTTCACATATAAATTTACAATTCTCTGCGGGGTAAAAAACTATAACTATAACAATAGAAACTATAACTGAGAAGAGACTGAAAGGGGAAGTCATTTAATGGAAATGGCACAGTGGCACCAACAGAGCAGGCACACCAGTGCCGATCCCAGTGAAAAAACACATGAATTTTCTGTCTATAGTTTCTCTTCCTGTCAAAGCAAGCCACACTGGTATGTGTACTCAGCTTTCATAACTAGAGCACATGCATTTTTCCCTAAGTGTGTGTGTTTGTGTGTGTTGCACATGCTCAAATGTGTAAGAAAAAGATGATTGAGCTTTATGAGGAACTTATTTTGAAGAACCCAAATCTTATTTTCTACTGGTAAGTTGTCTTAATTGTTCCTGTTTGAGACCTTACAATGCAAATATACCAGTTGGTTATTTGATTTTAATCCTCCCAGACATGGGTATCCTCATGTGTTTTGAAGGAAGAGAGGAGCCCAGTTTATTTCACAGGAATGCCACAAACATCCACTGAGATACTTTATAAACAACATGTTTTGAGAAGGACAATGACAAATAAGCCCTGTCTTAAAGCTAATGATGATGACAGGGGTTTCCATAATCCTGCAGCAGGTTGGGAGTTTCCAAAACTGGCAAAATTAAGATGGAGAAGACTTAACACAATTTAGGAGTTTCAAATATCAAACAGTCTGCCTTAGAGAGCAATTTGTTGTTGCAGAAAGTAGAACACTCACCTGAGGACATATATTTTTGCTTAATATAAAAGGGATTCTGAACTCCCTAGTAAATAAGCAAGAAAGTCCCATATTTACTTCTTAGCTGACACCCCTCTTTCACCTCCACCACTAGCTTAACTTTCAATTACTTCCACAAATACAAGTTTCACATATCTGTGCTTCACATAAGAGTCACACTTGACTGGAAGCTCCTTGAGCACTGGAACTCTGTATTTATTTGTGCTCTCTACAGCAATTTATATTTGTCTTTGCAGGTGACAAATGCTTAATAACTGTTTGTAAACAAAAAAATATAAACTGAAAATGCAACTCAAATATAGATCAGATGTTTTGACACAGCTAATATAAATGTGACACCTGCAATCTTGTTCTCTTGGAATCTAGAATAGGAAATTATATTGATTTGCTTAAATCCATTTCTATGTTGCTACAATATAGATGTCAGCTTGTCTTTTGGCTTTTTTTCCCTCCACATTAACCACAAGGAAGGTTCTATTTAAGGAGTTGGGGAAGAGAAGGCTTGTTTTTCAAAATACTTCATCACAGGCAATCATTTTAGATGAAATTCTTTAAGTGCTCTTATCCAAATGTCTATTTAATTTTTGGTAATAAAAGAGCCTTAGCCAATGTCCACAGACCTGTAAGTCAGAGCTAGGAGATTTCTTTATGCAAATTAAATTTGTGATACACTCATCGAAAGAAAAAGAAAATGGTAATAGAGATTAAATTTGCAGCTGCAGGATAAAGAATTCCTATACCTATTTTTAGGCTATATTAGTGTGACTAATTTTTTGAGATAGTGTGCCTTGACAGAATTAATGAGTGATAAGCTTCAAGAATTGATTATTAAATGAGGAGAGTTTAAAGAAAGTCAAGAATATATATAAGGTAACCAGTTTAATTAACCTTAACAGTGTAAAAAAATCCACATAAGAAGCACTGATAATAATTTTATGACCGTGTTATAAAACCCAACAAGTAACTATATTATAGTACTATTTCTATTTTATACTACAATTTGTTTCTCCTCAAATCCATTTTTCATTTTGCATTTAAATGTAATGATGTAAATCTTTATCAATGTACTCAGCAGTTCTTTTTTCCTTTACAAAGTAAAGGAAATATAAAGAAAAGGAAAGAGAATTGTTTGGTTCACATCAATGGGAATGAACTGTTGTAAAATCAAGTAGCTTTTCCATCCTAAGCTCATAGAGCAGAGCATATCAACCCTCCAGATAATAAAAGGGGAAGTGGATTCAAACAACATACCCGTTTCCTTAGATTGCACGTCAGAGTGAGATTCCTTGAGAAGGAGTTTGCAAAAGCCGTGTAAAAGTCCAGGACTTTGAGCAAGGCTTCTCGTTTGATGATGTGGAGGTCACAGTATGTCAGTGCCCGGACATTGGCACATGCGTGAGCAAGGGTTGTTTCCTTCCAGAAGATATCTCCAAATACATCACCTTTCCCTGGAAAATAGCATAAGATAGGTATTCAAGTAACTACAACAGTTCATACTTTACCACTATTTTAATTCTGCTCCACATTATGGTATCGATCTTCTAGCAAAATTAAGAGCCTGAATGTGTAACCCTCCCTATATACATATAACAATGTAAACACATATAACAATGTAAATTGTTAACTTTCATATAATATATCCCTCCATGTATATACACATAACAATGTAAATACATATAACAATGTATTTACATATAACAATGTTAATTGTTAAATTTTATATAAATCCAGTACTACAACATAAACTTGAATTGAGTTTTTGATGGAAATGTGGAGTGGTAAAAATAAAGGAACTCCGACAGAAAAGTTAAAGTCCTCACTTTAATACATAGTTTCATTATCTTCTGCCATATTAACTTTTCCCTGACTGATTGGAAAGAGCAAAGGTGTCTTCCTAGTTTCATCCCTTCTTCAGTTTCTTCTGGGAAAGAAGACAGTAAAATACAATATATGACCTACTTTTACAGTCTTGATAAATCTAGAACTGATTCAAAACATATTAAACACTATTCAGCAACTTTGTAAGCCTGTGTAGTCTAAAGTTTATCATGACTTATTACCCAGGTATGCCCTTCCCTCACCACTGATCCAAATCTTAGAAGGAGTTTTGGGGCCCAGCCTGAGAGTTCTCCATTTAGTATTTAAAAGTCTGAAGAACTGAACTCAGTAAAACATGGAAGCTGAGATTTTTTTTATTCCATAGTGTATGTTGCCTTAACATTCTAAAACCACACACAAGTCACCTAGTCATTTCAGAGCAGCATCCACTGACAGCCTGAGGCAATTGTTTGACACTCCAAGTCAAGGAGTCCATGGCATGTTGTGGAAACATACATTTGCAGAGGTTTGAGCCTATAACTCCTAAAGTAAATACAATGATTTAGATCAACTTTACCTTAATAATAATGACAATGATGATGATGATAACAACAATAATAATAATAATGGGATATTTGCCCAAGCAAGGAATAGTTAGCTATAAGGAACTAAAGGTCTTTCAGCTGAGGTAGTTATATCAGAGGCCCTGTTCATTCCTTGTTCTGTGGGAAAGAAAAGTTGTCCTTTCTCAGAGTGGAAAACATGCAGAATATATCCGAGTAGGGAAAACCTTTGAGGCACTCTGCCAAATCTTCTTTCTGCACCCTTACCTCAAAGATGAGCAAATATCTGGCCTCATCATGAGGATTAAAGTCAGAATTGAAAGGAGTAAAGGAAAAGGAAGAAAGATTTCCTGTAAATTTTCAAACCAGTCAAACCAGAGACAAAAGATGAGTAAGAACAAGAGCAGGAAGGAAGGGGGGAGCGCTGAGTGGCATTACTGATTAGACAGGCAATTTGCAACTTCTTAGAGAACCCCAGACACTCCAGAGTAGAAAAAGAAAATATGCATTTTATACATGAAGTGGTTATGTGAGCATATGATCAGCACAGAATAACCATAATGGATATTTAACTAATCTTGAGCAATGTCATATGATTCTGGACAACCCCCCCAATTCCTTTTAGTTAATAATTTGTCAAAAGACATGACTCAGCTGTCTGATAGCCATATATTTGCCAAAGGAAAAATAATTAGTGACCCAAATAAATTGTTCAAGCACATAACATCATAATTACCTAAGTGAGACTAGTTATAGAATTTTGAAAGAAAAACTGTAAGAAAAACCATGCAGAGATGAATTTCAGAAATCTGTAAATGGTATTCTCTTTGAACTATTTTAAATTATAGATTTTTATGCTAATTGTACTATGAGATATACCAATTTTACTAAGATAGGTTCACTGGAGAGACAGTTACAATAGTCCAAAAAACAGAACAAGATAAATATAAATAATTATGGAATATTATGCAACCACTAAATATCATTAATTGAAACAAAGTGACAGAGAAATGTTCACATAACATAAAATAATGAAAGCAAGATGTCAAATCATACATACAGTATGACTTTATTTCATGTACCCTATGTCCCCCAGAAACACCCACATGTGAACATACTGCAAATATATCAAAACAGTAAGTTTTCTTCTCTGCATTATGGGATATGAATGGGTTCTACTTTGTCCTAAAGTTTATAACTCTGTTTTTGAAACAGAAGAGATCAACAAATGATATATTATGATAGTCTCTTGTCCCATGAAAATAACAGGGCTTTCAAAGGACTATTTTAATCTACTTCTTATTTCTTCCCTTCTTTTGTCATTGTTACTCTTTCTATACTGGACTTTTCCTTGATGAAACAGAAAGAGGATTACATTTCTGATTTATCTGTGATTCTTCTTCAAATTGTCACATAATACAAATGCTAACCCATTTATAAGTGCTCATTACTTTTCAACTATTAATTTTCATGTTTAATAACTACAATTATAATCAATGCATTTGACTCAATGATTTCACTTCTGGGAATCAATCAAAAGATTTAGATCCAACACATGTAATATTCACTGTAGCACTATTAATCACAAGCTCCAATCAGAAAAAATTAAAATTTTATAAATTTTATGTCCAACATTAACGGGAAAGAACACAAATGTACAAAAAAAACTGAACTCATACTGAATTAAAATTGATTTATAAAAATAACATGCAAAAATACCTGATAATTTTAAGTGACTAAATATACAAAAAATAATATGACTATGGTAAGAGCCACAGTAAAGTACACAAAAATGAAATGAAATCTCAAAGACTAAAAGAAATTTCAAGCCTACTTTTTCCTTTTTCTTAAAGAAAAATAATATTGATAGAAAATATGTTTTATTCTGTTTTTATACATAGTATATTATGGTATTATTGTCAACTGATAATAAATTGTGTTCATAAGGGGTATATGACTAAAAGGAAATGTATTTGATAAATATGGCAATTGACTTCAAATGATGTTTCTTGTTTCTCTTCTTTCTACTTTGTTTTCCAAAGTATTTTTTATGTTGTGAATCTGACTTTTATTATAAAATAGAACACTTTTTAAATAAGTCTTTCCTTACACTTTTTTAATACAAGTGAATTAATAAAATATGTACGCAGATCTGCAGAACAGTATGTAATTATTCACTGATAAGTGCAATGTCAATAGATAAAAAAGACAATCTAGATATAATTGAATTACCCTTGCTATTTTTAATTGTGGAGGTGTCAACATATCTCATATATTTTATTTTACTCAGCTGAAGAAATTAAAATTCTTACCATATTTCAATCATAAAATCTATGCTCTGAAAGAATAGCATCAAACTACAATATAAACTCAGGAAGGGAGGAAATTTTCTTTGTTTCATCCAGTGCCATTAACCCCAAAATCTCAAACAGTTCAAGAGCTCAGCAAATATTTATTGGAAAAAAATACATGAATAAGAAAGGAAAGCAAAGAAAGATAAAGAAGGACAGTTGGGAAACTGTAGAACAGGAGTGAGAATTGAGACTCTACACTAAGAGTGTGGCCAGACAAGTGGCCATGCTACCAGGTCTTGATTCTAAATGGAACCAGATGAATGAAAAGCAATGTTGCAGGTTTCTCTACATTTATAATTCCATGGACATGTGTTTGTGTCTCATGGTCAAACAAACAAACAAACAAAAAAGATTTTAAAATCTAGAACCTCAACTCCCAATCCCATTACAAGGCTGAAAATCAACAGAAAAGTGAACTGATTCAGCCAAAGTAAAACTCATCCTCTACTCCTCTCCCTAAAAAAGTTTAGGAAAGCATTACAAAATTAACAAAAGTAAATGCTGCTGCTCCCAACATCAGAATTCACATTACATAATAAGCAATACTATTTGTTTTATAACAGAATTTCCACTAGGATATATAATTGTAAATTGGATATTAATCATTTCAAAATGTTTTTTTCTTTTTTAAAAAAAGATTTATTTATTTATTTTTACAAGCACTGGGTACAGTCAGAAGCGCGGAAGGGCGAGAGAATTCACCAGAGCCAGAACGGGGAGCAGAACAGGCAGAAGGCCAAAGTACATTGCTGAGGGGAGCAGCGGGTGGCAGGAGAGGTCTGCGTGCCATGTGGGACCCTCACCTGGTGGCCAGGGATCAAACCAGCGCTGAGGAGGCTGCGGGCAGCTTCGCAACCCAGCGCTCAAACGCTGAGCCACCAGGGAGGCCCTCAAAATGTTTTTCCTTGATCCAGCTTTCTATAACACATAATAGTCACGTAATTTACAAACTTTGTATGGGGCATGGTTGTGAGGACAGTTGTCAAGTAAATCAATTAATTTACCAGCCACAGTGTATTGGTTAATGTCTATCTCAAGATATGTCATGCATATCTACAGAAAGTAATCCACAGAAATCAGACTGCACGACATAGAATCGATTAGCATGGAATATCCAATAGAGAGCATTTTCCCTTCATCTCAAACATTTTGTACACTTTCAGGGCTGGGAATTCCTGTTCATCTTCATGACTATAGAATAGTTGATGCCGGTTTTTAGGTCAACTCCCACTGGGTGCAAGTAGTCTTAGCTATGAACATTTTAGAGCTTGAGAAAACTAACCTTCCCCCAAAGCCCTAAAATTAGAAGAAAAGCTCACACTCAACATGAAAGTTGTTGTTTGGTCTATTTATATTTTCTCAGTTCTTTGCATCAAGTCCTATGAAGTATTTCACTTCTAAGCCACAAGAAAGAGGAATGTAAAATAGAAGTAAATGTTAAAGATTCATAGAGTTAGAAACTGGAAAATAAAAAGACAAAACAGAGAAAAAGAGTTACAGCATCAATGAAGGAGCAATACAGACCAAGATATGCTTGGGGGATTATGGCCCCCTGAGGCACTAGTTTTATAACCAGAATTTTTTTTTTAAGTATATGAGATACATTATTTAGTGGGTTAATGACATGGATAAAATAAATACATAAAAATTCTTTCAGTTACTTATCAGTGACTATACCTATCTAGCATAGCCAATGGATTGCAAAATTAAAGT